AGTATACTTCATAGAGGAAAAATCATTCCAGGGCCACAAACCACACTCCTATCCTTGATAGGTTCTTGGCACTAGTTACAAAGGGAGATACCAAAAAAAAAAAAAAAAAAACAAAAAACCATTGCTGTCGAGTCAATTTCGACTCATAGTGACCCTGTAAGACAGAGTAGAACTACCCCATGGGGTTTCCAAAGCTGTAATCCTTATGGAAAAAGACTGCCACATCTTTCTCCCAAGGAGTAGCTGGTGGGTTTGAAATGGTGATCATCTTCCAGTTAGCAGCCGAATGCTTTAACCACTGCGCCACCAGGGCTCTTACAAAGGGAGATAGAACAGTTAAATTAGAGGCATCTATACACTCTGCTGTACATATACACACACAACTTACTAATATTTGTATAGCAGAAGGAGCATAATTTTACATACCATATCCATAAATTTAAGGTCATATCATACTGATAGTGACTCAACACAGGTATAACTACCTTTACATAAAAACATGTTATTTCCATGACTAGAAATGACATCTCCAACCTAAAGCTGCCTTTTTTTTTTTTTTACTGCTAACCTTTCAGCAGAAAGGTTAACCTAATAAATACTCTACCTAAAGTCAAAATCTTCCATGTTTGTGATATCCCAATAATTTAGCACGGCTTCAGAGATAAAGAAATCACTGTTTAAGCTGTGCAATATTAAAGCAATTTAAGTAGCAACGCTCTTCCTGATACAAAAGCCCCAATACTAGACTATTTCAGTCAACAACCAGTCCTACTACCAGCCAGTTTTACTTTGGAGGTCACCAATATCCCCAGCACTAGTATGGACAGCAGAGACCATTCATATTTTTTAGATGATTAAAACATTCATCTGACTAGGATACTGATGTATGAAGCAAGAAAAACAAACCCCTTGTTTTATTAGAGGCATAATATCTTAATGATAGGGAAGTGAGATGTAGAATGTTCTCTAAAAATTATATAGGAGGGAAAAAAATGTATGGTGTCTTCTGTAATTTTCTCATGAAAACTCACCATCACCATTTTAAAAGTCCAAGAAAATAAGCTTGTTCCCAAGTTTTGTCAATCATAAAAATAAATCTCACGTTTAATATAAACCGATTTAATATAAATTGATATACCGTGTTGCTATACATACCTGTATAATTGGTATCTGGTGTACATTTATTAATAGCAATGTCAGAGAGAAAAAAAATTGAGAAATATTTGTCAAACATCCACAAAATCTTTGCTCCTGGGTCAAATGCCATAAACAGTAAGCACCAAAAAGATAATTTTAAAATTAACAATTTTCAACAGCATAATTGTAGCTGTATCCCAGGGTATGTAGCCCTATTAAGTGGCTAAATCTTACCCCATTAAAAGCAATTTTAAATCATTCATCCGCTTTGATGGAGGCAAATTATGGCATGCATAGTTAAAAATATTTGATATGTGTTTTTCAGCAGATTGCCATCATAATTACATTGTACTTAGAGTAATATGAAAATTAGTTTTTTACACCCTAAGTACACACTTCCTGAAGATAGAAGGAAGATAGCGAACCTAGATAGCTAACTTAAAAGAAAGCGGACCCAGATAAAGTGTAGCATAGCAGCTGCATATGAAGAATTTTTAGTCACTCAACCATGTGAAGCCCTAAACCATGATCTCATATTAAAGTGTTTTTAAAACCACATACTCTGATCAGTCAAATATAACACTTAAATCAATTGTCACACGCTTATTCTTTAGAGGCTAAGGGAAATTAAGGACGATGGGCATCAAGCTGGAGAACATTTTCTCTGACAAAGTCATTCATTCCTTTACATCTGCCTCTCATCCCCAGAAGGATAGTGGGTGGGACTACTCAGATACCTTCTAGGAGATATATTAGGGTTTTAATCCTTCTTTTCTAAAACTGAGCAGAACTCTGCTCTGTAATTTCACATGTAAGTCTTCCCCCACACTCCTTTAAAGTAGAGCAAGCATTCTCCTTTGAAAAGAGGTCTTTCCCTTTAAATAGGTGATGGACAAATTCTCGATTTGTTCAAGTGCCTTGGTGAGTTAAAAAAAAAAAAAAAAACTAAAACAAAAACAAGAGAACAAAACAAAAACAGAGACCTTAAAAAAAAAATAAAGACGCAGAAGACCTGAAGCCTGAGGCCATTCATCTATACACCTCACCCTTGTTACCTCAGCATTTCTAACAAGGATGTCAAAAGGGGGTACAGTCTCTACAGCGGCTTTACTGACCTGAGGTGGGGGAGTTTCATGTTGCTTAAGGAAAGGGCCTAAGGGGAAGAACTTCGGGGCGCTAGACACTTTGATGGAAGCTGGATTTTAAAGAGCCACAATATGAAAAGTTTAAAAGCGACAACGTTTAAAAAGTGTGTGGGTTGCGTACAAGTCGTGAAAAAGTTAGCCGCCAGGCAGGGAAACACCCGAGTGTGGAGGGTGAGGAGGAAAAGTTTTAAATACTCACCAGAGCTTAGTGAACAATTAACAAGCGTCTCCCCTCCCTGGCTCTACTCTTGCCCCCAAAGCAGCTAGCTGCAGGGAAGCAAGCAGCCCTATTTTTAAACACTTAAAGCTCTCCCTTGGACTTCAGAAGGCTTGAGTTACCGGCGTTGTAAATAATGTTTCTTTCTAAACAAGTGAAAGCAAATATGAATTCCCTAGCCAAGACCCAGGAGGAAGGAAGGTAAAACGACAAAAAAAGTGGTTTCAGCGTGAGGTGATGGGGCGGGGGATGAGGCGGATAGAAGGAAGGACTTACCGCAGCCTCTGCAGGCTGCCCCCAAAGACTCAGGGCCAGTAAGAACAAGCCGGCAGCCAGGCTGATTCGACGCAGTTTCATTCTTCTCCCGCTTCCGCAGCTCCTTCAGCACCCACAAGAAATCCTCGGCTGGCTCTGACCAACTGACATAATCTTGAGGGTTTATTGGAAGAGATCTAGACCCAGGAGGGACAGTGAAGGTGTCCCAATTGTGCTGGTCCTTTTGGGTGAGGAGAAAGCAGCTCTTTAAGAAGTGAGGAAAAAAAAATTAAAAAGAAGCTGTTCTCCCCTCCCCCCTCCCCTCCCCAAAGCCGGTCCCTCGGGAGCGCTTTTCCCTTCTGTCCAGACTTGCAAACTTTTTCCCTCACTCAAGTCCGACAGATCTACTTTCCTTCCTCTATTCCCCTGCACCGCCCCCCTCCCCACCAGCACAGGGGAATTTGAGTATCCCTCCGCCACGGCTTGAGACTGCACCAGCAACCTGCGAGGGAGTGACGCTCAGTTGTTCGAGGGAGGGAAACTTCCCGATCAGTTGACTGAGCACCATGAATCCAACCAGGAAGCTTTTCTATTCGCTTACTTTCACCTACCGTTGATACTACTCTTCCCTACCCAGGCCCACTCTCATTGGTGTGAGCACCAAAGCCGATACAATAGACCTGAGCTGGGACTATTTCTTTTAGCGGATGGATCTCAGAAGTCGGCGCGTTTTATTGTTCATCATTAGAAACAAATTTTAGTCGCTGCTCACTCGGCTGATGGTGTTGTTTGCCTTCCAACTGCTTGCAGGACAGGGAGTTTCTACATCCTAGCAGAAGATGTGAAAATATTAGGAAAATATGTGTATGTATAATTAAATATTTGCTTATAGCTGAACTAAGATATTGCACATATGCATAGTATATGTGTGTACGATATGAGTGTTATATACATATGAAATTTGGGAGGGTTCAGTAGATGTTAGTATTTATCATATACTTGAATATTATCTTAATACATTCATATATTTTTATGAAACTACATTGAATGCCATAACTAATATTTACTTCCTATATTGAGCTTACATGAACGGTATTGACCCTCCTTGTAGTTGTGTTTCAAAGGGATTTAGAGCAGGGAGTTAAATAACTTCAGGGCGATTTTCCTTTAATTAACACAGATACCTAGTTGGAAATATTTATATGGAGTTAATGGCAGTTGAATTGATGCCTCCAAAATAAAGTAGATTGAACGTTACTTTGGTAACTCTGATATGTGAATTTTTAAAAGTACCAGCAGGCCCAGAAAATACGTGGTCTCTTCAGAGAATCTTTCAGGAATTTTCTGAAGGATTCTTCAGAATTTACCCCTTTGGAGTCTTTCATATCAGAACATTTCTGTTCTCTCAGACCCTAGAATTTATCCTCTAAGAGTCTTTCATATCATAGAGATCCCATGTGACAGAGTGGAACTGCCCCATAGGTGTTAATAGAAAATCAGTTGACTCCGTAGCACCTAACAACAACAGACTCAGAAGTCCCTGGGTGGTGCAAATGGTTAAACCCACTCTGCTGGTAACCAGAATGTTGGCAGTTGAGTCTTGCGATCTTCTTCTGAAAAATCAGCCATTCAAAACCCTATGCGGCACAGTTCTACTCTGACAGACATGGGGTTACCACGAGTCAGAATAGCCTCCAAGGCGACTGGTTTAGTAGTCTTTCAAGGCTTTGGACCTATTTCATGGGGTCCCTCTATCCTTAGGTCCTACTCAGCTTAGAGTAGATTTACAACTCCAGAACCACCACCACCCGCCACCAGCCCACTCTCTCCACCCCTGCTTCCACAGCTCAGTTACAATTTGAATGAGGGTTGTGTATTTGGGCATGTATGCAAGGTCACTTTTGGGACCATCTGTCTATGTAGGAGTTGTATGCTTAAGCCTATATATGTGTAACACACACTTAAGGAAGTGTATGGTGTGTTAATACGTAGGTGTAGTGTATAGGTCTCTACGGCCTGTGCGTGAAGCTGCGGATATACGTGGGGCTGTTATGTGTAGTAGCCAAGGTCGGTGAAAGTGGGAAAGACAACCGGCTGCCCAAGGTAGGGGGGATGATTGACAGCAGACGGCCCCGCCCCCTTCCCCTCCATTCCTTCCTTTCAGTGCATGAACTATCTCCTGAGTACGGCAAGTTGTAACGGGCACCGCTGAGCGTGTTTCACTTTGGGACACTTCTTATCTAGAAGCTGAGTTTAGTTTCTTCTGAAGCGGGCCATTTCGCCCCCCTACGCCGTCCTCCTGAGTAAGGAGGCAGTCGCGAAGCATCAGCTGAGCCCAGATGAGCCCGGGCTGCGGAGCCGCTTAGCAGTCTCCCGGGACCCAGCTCCGGAGCAGCCGCAAGCATGCATGCTGGGTGAGCTGTTGCTCCCCGGAGCTTTCCTCCTCTTTTCCTACTTCGGGCTACTTTACCGGGCCGAGACTATACTTGTACTTATGCTTCTGCAGAGAAAGTGGGAGCAATTAGCAATAAGGGCTCGGGGGAGGGAGTTACTGGCAGATGAAGGACCCCGGAGCCTGGGGAGCCCATGTTACTCACCCTCCCTCCCGTTTCAGGTTGTGGCTGCTCCTGGTTGCGTTGTGCCTGACTGAGGAACTGGCACTAGCGGTGAGTCCCTTCTCCCGACCGCTTTCCCACCTCCTTTGACCTCCCCCTTCTTCTACCCCTTGTGTTTGTGTTAGAGGGTTACCGAGGGTTGCACCACGACAGAGTTCCCACCACTCTGGTTTCTAATTGGAGTTAATGGGGTTCTTGGAAAGGAATAGCACAGTGTCAGGCTAATATCTTTGGGATCCAGGCATTTTCCTGTCCAAAAATTTCATAATGGGCCGGGAAAATAAAAATAGAAGACATAAGATGCACAACTGTCCGAACCTCTTCCCAAACAATTCACATGATTAGCATCTGATGCCTTCCTCTGCATCAATCACCAGGGCAGAAGAAACGTAATTTTCGCTGGTCTACAAGAACAGAATTGACACATAAGTTTGAGAGTGGGAGGCGTGCGCAAGGAGTGGGACCTGAAAGTGCTATGGACATTATGGGAGTTAAACTTAAGTATTTGCTTTGTGAGTCCTTTGGCAGTGCCAGGTGACAACATCTGGATTCCTTAACTACCGGAACTGAACTGATACCACCAGATGATGTTCACTTTCTCCCTGATGTTTTCTTTTATTGGTTTTCTGTGTTATCAGAAAGTTAAAAGTTTAAGGGGTTAGCGCAGAAAAACAGACTTTCAAAAAGTTAACATTTCAGAGGCTGTTTAAATATCATTCATCAAATCAGCTAGGGACTGCAGGCAAAGGAATTTGTGCCGACATCTGGTCAAGAAAGGTTTAATTAAGACCTCCCATTGAATTACTAGGAAAATATACCAAAGGTAGAATAACCTGAATAAGCAGAGATGCTGCAGTTTTCCAGTCTCACTAGCTACTTATGCTGGCAGAAATAAAGTTAACTGTTGAGTTCAAACACGAAGTTGTTAAACTATTGAGTAGTGTTTCTCTGCTCTATTAAAAAGAACTCTTACTATAATAGCAAAAGTCATTCACTATGTAGATAACAAATGAATATATATTCCAAATATTTACCTTGTGCGTTTAGATATTTTTAACTGACTGACTCCATTTTTAAATACTTTAAATATTTTAAAATACTATTTATAGAGCCAACTTAGTTCAACACAATAAAATTACCTAATAACGTTTATGAAAAAAAATGGATTACTTTAACCTGGCATATGATGTCTTTAAGAAAATACCAGAATGAAGTGAAATGATTTCTCCTATGAAAAGTGGAGAATGCCAGGAACCTTGAATTCTAATATCTTGTGACCCCTTAACGCAGAACATCAGCTCTTGTATAGGTAATCTAGACTTTGTAAGCAGAAAATATTGATCTCGGGCTCACACACTTCCCTTCTATTCCTCCATTATAAAACTGTAGTTGTGTTTTACCTTGAGGCTCAATTCTACATTTATTGGAAATGCCAGATTTTGACTGGTTAACAATTTGTCTGGAAATCCTGCTACTTGTGAAAGAGTCATGCTTGGGCCGACTACCCTCCAGCAAAACCCTTACTTTCAGACTCTGGCTGATCTTGTTCAATGTACTTTTGGGAAAAGCACTAACAGATCATGCCAGATAGCTAGCTATTTCTAAAACACTGTTATCCCATCACTTAATAATCAAGCCACTGGAGGATGATTCCTCCAATTCTTGGAAGTATTTAATTGTGTCTCCCAATTAAAGCACTGCTTTGGTGTGTGAGTTTTAGGCTCTGTCTCTTTTTTTTATAATGTCTCCTGCTGTATCAATGTGATTGACCCTGGTAAGGCTATGATAATCCTCAAGATACACTGATAATACCTTATTTTCTGCCTTATTTAAGTCCACAGCTTTTTCATCTGTTTTTTACTTCTGCATAGTATCTTTGATGGTGTAAGACTCTTTTATTTCAAAAATGGCAAAGAGAAAAAGGATTAGAGGAGGAGGAGAATCACTGGATAAGTTCTCAGAAGATGACTTTTCTGAGGGAAAGTTTTTTGCTTGTGCACTCTTTGCAATAGATTCTCATCTATGTTGGCCGGTTCTCATCTTCTACTCACAATTACAGTTTATCCTCTGGGTTTGTAGTATCTTTCACTTTTCAGGTGGCTTTAGACATTTGAATTCTCTGTACCTTATTTGTCTAATATTAATGAAAAATAGCATGTGGAGCAGAACTCAAATCACGTAAAAAGACTGGACTTAATGGTTTGACTGAGACTGGAGGAACCCTCGAAGCTATGGCCCCCAAACGCTGTTAACCCAGAACTAAAAGCATTCCCGAAGCCTACTCTTCAGACAAAGATTAGACTGGACTATATAACATAAAATAATACTCATGAAGAGTGTGCTTCTTAGTTCAAGCAGATACACGAGACCAAATGGGTGGCTCCTGTCCGGAGGCAGGATGAGAAGGCAGGAAGGGACAGGAGCTGGTTGGATGGACACGGGAAACCTGAGGTGGAAAGGGGGAGTGTGTGGTAACATTGTAGGGATTGCAACTAGTGTCACATAGCAATATGTACATAAATTTTTGTATGAGAAATTAACTTGAGCTGTAAACTTTCACCTGAAGCACAATTTTAAAAAAAGGGAAGAAAAATAGCTGTTATCAGTAGATTGACAGGAACTACATTGTGCCTCATTTATGAAAGAGTCACTTCACTGTGAAAGTTAAATCACCAATAATGGAATATTGGTGAGCATTTAAAGATAGGACCATTTAGGTGCTTTTGAATTATTTGTCAGAGTTTATAAAGCAATTCTATATAAAGGAATGGAAAGCTAAATGTTAAAACCCAGGATTAAAGAATGATTTTCCATTAAATTCCTTTTAAAGGAATGATAATCTTCATTCAGGTAAAGTATTTGCAGAATTTATCTGAATAAGATAGAGCCTAGGATTTCAGAATATCTGTAATCATCTTTGGTTATTAAGTACCTAACTACCTAAAGTGCTCTGCCCGGCTAGGCACAGCACATAACAGCTTATTTAGACATAGCGCCTAACTCTAGGAGTTTAAACTCTCAGACAATGGTGGTCATTATGTTGCTTTAAAAATAGGGTATTTAATGATAAATAATTATCTGTATGTACCTGCAGCATCTTAGAGAAAAGACTAGGAAGATCCAAATCTAATCATAGGCCAATATGTCTAGGAGATGAAATATGTCTCAAAGTAGTCAGAGTCCTTATGTTTTCTTCCCACTTTGCCCCCATCCAGATCTGCTTTCAGGAAAGGCTCTAATACAGTCAGTCAAGCATAATTAAGAGTTAAAAGCCTGGTGGGAGAGTTATTTGGATGAAGAGGGGTGGGAGGGGATAAAAGATGTCTCTTGTCTCTTCTGAAGAGATCATAGATAAAATGTCTTTAGCCATATTCAAATTAAGTTCTTAAATAAATACAAAATATTACCTTTAAAGTTGTAACTTGCCTAACTTGCTCTCCTCCACTGTGATTTTCACAGTTATAAAAGTTTTGCAGTCATCGAAGTATGAACAGAGTGTTACAGGAGTTAAGAGATGGAGAAAAATCTCTTACTCTAAATATCAACAGGAGTATTTGCCTTGTTTGAGGCTGTGTCTCTGTGAATTCTTAAAGTAATCTTCTGCTTTGCCTGCTGGGAAATATCCCATGTCAGCTAGCTATAGTTATAGTACTATATATATTATATATGTGTGTGTGTACACAGAATATATATCTTGGGATGACTGAGAATACTAATACAGATGTATAAGTATATCATCAAATGAATTGTCAGATGACTACATAAATGAATAGTACAAGGATGATAATATATTTATATTATTGACCAGTCAAATAAAAGTATATTTTAAGACAAGACCTGCTGCCGTTGAGTCAATTCCGACCCACAGCGATCTGGTAGGACAGAGTAGAACTGCCCCATAGAGTTTCCAAGGCTGTAATCTTTACGGAAGCAGACTGCCACATCTTTCACCCATGGAGCAGCTGGTGGGTTCAAACCATCGACTTTTCCGTTAGCAGCTGAGTGCTTAACCATTGCGCCACCAGATCTCCTTATTTTAAGACAAGAAAAGAGGGGAAAATGGGTGAGGGAGTAAAGATGTAAGGAATACCATGGAAATTTGTAATGTAGACTTTGCAGACTAGGGGGAGACAGGCAACTACTCTGATTATGTAGGAAATACTTGTAATAAATAACTCATAAATACCTCTTATGAGATATTTAAAGAGTTAGAAATAGCATCTTTGGTAGGCTGAAGTGGAAGAAACACCCAGACATGCTGTTTTTTGGATGAAAATTCTGAGTTGAGAGTGCATAAGAAATGAAGAGGTTTTCATAGCTGATTCTGAGCCAAGAAAAGGGAGCTAGATAGGGTATGGGGTACAAAGAGAGGTAGAGTGGTTTGTTTCTATGTGCCTCTTTGGCTGCATACATAATGGTAATTGTAATATTTCTGTGTCACCTATCAGCTGCACTGAAAAACCTGAGCAGAACCAGGTCATAATCATGTACACAGATTAATTTCAGTTAAAATGCAAAAGTCAGATCTGCTTAACCAGGGGTTCTTAATCTAGGGTCCATGGATAGAATTCAGACACTCTGTGAACTTGGATAAGAAAAATCTCTAACTGAAATTTAACATCTTCGATTAAGAATCTAGGCCACAAACCACAGTGATATTAGTAGTACTAAAGCACTTGGCTGCTAACCAAAAGGTCGGCGATTCAAAACCACCAGCAGCTCGGTGGGAGAAAGATGTGGCAGTCTGCTTCAATAAAGATTTACAGCCTTGGAAACCCCATGGGGCAGTTCTACTCTGTCATATAGGGTAACTATGAGTCAGAATCGACTCGACAGTAGTGAGTTTTGGTTTCTGAGGTCACAAATTTAAATCTCAGATCATTTCATATAATAATACAGTTTTATATATCTAAAAATATCATTTACATTCATCATTCAAAATTACGGTAGTCATTAGACCCGCTACTAGTTATTATTTAATGTGCTACTAAAGGAGCAGAAATATTACCATATAACACATTTGTTTTATCATATATTTTGATGATTATATT